TCTATCCAAGCAAGGGATGGGGAATTTTGAAAGTGGAAGAGATCTGACTGTCTTAAACAGAAGTCTTAGTGAAAGGCTCCCACCTGGAAGGTCCATCCCTTTTTCTCTACTAGACTGCCTTGGCCATTCTTTAAAATCCAACTGAGGTCCCAACTGCCTCGAGAAACCTTCCCTGACCAGTCCAGCTCACCCCAGCCTTTTCTTTTCATCTTTTGGGTATTTAGCACTGATTCTCCTTTAATGGAGTTTTTGTCCTTTGTCTGTGGCTTTTCCATCAGTTATGAGGTCTTAAGGTCAGACAACTTCCTCTTGCTGGCTCTGGATACAGCAGGCCCCCAGCATTGGTGAGTTATATCAGCACAGTTGGCAGGGCCAGCCTTCTCTGCGGAACAAATGAGTCTGCCATCACTTTCTTGTATTAGTTTACTCATATGGTCCATTACATGAATATTAAATATTGATTCTTTACCTGTTGCTGGTCTGGACACTGGAGATGCAATGTCTCATTAGGCCTGACTCCTTCCTTATAGCAGCTTGCAGTCTAATGAGAACACATATATTACCATACTAAAATCAACCAGTTGCCATTGAGTTCATACTGATTTGTGCAACCCCATGTGTGTCAGAGTAGAGCTGTTCTCCACAGAATTTTCAGTATTTGATTTTTCAGAAGTAGATTATAAGACGTTTCTTCCAAGACATTTCTGAATGGACTCAAACTGCCAACCTTTGGTTGGTAGTTGAGTGCTTAACCACTTGTGCTACCCAGAAATTCTACATTAACATGTTAAGTGCTGTCGATTCAGTTCCGACTCATAGCAACCCTGTATAGTGTTTCAGAGGAGCAACTAGTAAGTTTGAACCAACAACCTTGCAATTCAAACGGACCTTGTAGTCGAGTGCTTATCCTACAGCACCACACCAGGACTTCTCTCCCGCAGAGAGGGCTAGATGCAGTTTCTGAAATGTAGTAGTACTGTATTTCAGTGGTACCCAGGGAGTTGATCAGAGGATTTGATCCCTGAGCACATGCTCATAAAAACTCAGAAGAGCAGACAGTGGGAAGCAGGGAGAAAGTGCATTTAAGTGGAGAAGATAATCTGTGCAAAGAATGAAGGTATGGAAGGGCCTAGTAAGGTCATATAAGGCCCAGAGCTGCCGGGGTTTTGCTATGTTCACAAATCAGCTGGTCCCAGAGAAGGTTATTGCCTTCTTACCATGGCAGTGGGGGTTGGAATCTGAAGATCTAAAGTAAGAACCACAGAGCCTTGCTTCCTCTGCCCCTTGGGGCCTGCAGTGTCTCCACCCAGTTTCCCTGCTGCTCCTTCCCAATTAGAATGAAACGGGCTCCTGTGACCCTGATATGCTTTCCTTCTTGTTAGAAGCTTAATATTGTATGAATCACAAGTCCTGATGCCTAGCCTGGCAGCCAGGATCAGAGGTGTAAATTAAAACAACATATGACCCTGATTGCCTCAGTCAGGGGCTGCTGAGGCCAACTGAAGAGGTTGTTTCGCTTTGTCACTGATAAGGAGAATACTACCAAAGCTGTTGATTTCAAACTCTTTCCTTGGAGAGCTATAAGCATCTTGCAGACATCATCCAATCATGATAGCACTAAGAGAAATCCTTTCATCAAGCATTTGAAAAGTATTATTTCATTAATAGGTTGAGGACTTTAAGATGTAAGGTTAAGTGGCATGCCTGGGATCTCACAGCTAGTCATGATAAAGCCAGAATCTGAGCTTCATTCTGATTATAAAGTCCAAGCATCAGTTTTTAATGCCGTCCTGAACATAAGAAATAATCCTGACCTGAGGGAGCTGGACAGCTCTGCCCTATAAGCACCCTTTCAAGTATCTCTATTTCCAGGGCAAATCTCAAACACATAAGACATTCACTACACCTTTATTATGTGCCTACCATGTGCCAGGGACAGTGTTGAGGGCTGGGAAAGATGCAAAGAGGCATAGCCTCAAAATCTTAAGTAAGTGTAGGGTTACACAACCAATTAATGTAACTATACACCTGTAAAAAGTTAAATAGGCAAAAGTTGCGTAATGATGTATTTACAACAAAGATACCCCCCTTCCCCCCCAAAAAAGTAGCTACTGAGGCTGTTTATATACAATCAAACCATGGATTTGGTTTCTTAATTTGGGAATTTAGGGTTCTGCTTTCCAGGGACATTCCTGTTAGTTGGCCTAATAACATGAATAGTTCTTCTGTTCTACCTCTTAGTTCAATGCATAGTGTCTGCGGTCTTGAAAGCTTACAAAGCCATCCAATGTACAACTGCTGGTCTTTATTCATCTGGAACAACAGAGGAAAGAGATTCTGGAATAAGAGGAGAATCTGGAATGTGTGACTAATTGCCTCCATAAACAACTACCTCCTTTACCATGAGACCAGAAGAAGTGGATAGTGGCCAGCTACCGTTACTGAACATTTTGCTCAATGATCCCCTAGAAGAATCCTGACCAAAAGGGGTAAAATATAGCACAAAGTTTCAAATCCATATATTCTGGAGCAGTGGAGGCTGGATGAACCCCTGAAACTATTTCCCTAAGAAAATCTTTAAGCCTTAAATAAAAACATTGCCCTGAAGTCTTCTTAAAACTAAACAGTAATTTAGTTTATTACTAAAGAATGTCTTCTTTGAGCAATGTGCTCATTTGTCTATATGGAACCAACAGCAGTTTGAAAGATTAGATAGAAAACACCATAGAAGGCAGTGAGTTTCTGTTAATGGGGAAGGAACAAGTCAGAAAAAGAGGGTAAGAATGGTTTCACAACTCCGAGAATGTAATCAGTGTCACTGAAGTGCACATACAGAAAGTTAAATTAGTGTGTTTTTATTTAGTATGTTCTCAAGAACAACAACAAAAAGTAATGAAGACAAATTATTATTATATATATATAAAAGGAGGCCCAGTTACCATATGCCTCACCATCCAGTGGTATGGACCCTGTATAGTATTAGAAAACAATTTTGGTCTTTGGCCTTTGTTCCTGTGACGTTACCCTGGGACTAATTGAAGTCCCTTTATCTGAAATATCCAGATCACACCTGAGGATCTGTACTAACACATGGGGAGCTTTCCAGACCAGAAAAGACTTGCCTGATAGGCCAATGTCAACTAACCTCAGGAGGCATGATTTAGCATATCATGCATATGCAATAAGTGTTCAATCATGACTGGCTGATAGAAGACCTGAACATGGAGGCACAGAGAGCTTCCTGGTTAGCAGATGGAGGGTGATGCACCCTCTTTGGGATATGGAAACTTCACATTGAAGTTTCCCTCCCAGAACTTAGCCATGCTTATAGCAATTCTGATTCATATATTTTTGCTACAGTAAACTTATAATCATAAGTATAGTGCATTGTATGAGTTCTAAGTTGTTGCAGTAAGTAGTATCAAACCCAAAGCAGTAGAGTCAGCCAGTAGTAAGGGAGCCCAGCAGAGTTCTCTGAGCTTATGGCTGGCACCTATCCTGAAGGGGTACTGGGAGAACCTGAAATCTGTGGCTTGTCAGAAGTTTGAGGTATCATGTGGACTCACTAAACATGCAGCTGGCATCTATTTGGCAGTTTGGAGGATGGTGTCATGTTAAAAAGTGTGAGATCTGCCCAAGGTCTGAGTAGCTAGGGTTTGCAGCTGGTGTCAATCTCTGATGATACAGAAGTGAGAAAGTGGAACTTTGAGCACTCCTTACATTCTACTTCCTACTCACAGAACTGTTCCTCTTTCCACAATGGCCATTCAAAACTTGCCCATCCTTTAAGGTGACCCACTCAGTCCTCTCCACCACCCAGCCCAACATCAGTCTCTCCTTCTAACCTTATAAAGTGCTATTTATTACCCCACCCACAACGGCTCCTGCTTTATTTACTTTCTTTCACAAAGCAGTTATTTGCATGCTTACTATGTGGAAAACATCAGGGATGCAGAAATGAGCAGGACGTGATGTTGGCTGTAATGACATGAGGTCTAAGAGGGGACCTGACACACAACCAGCATATGGACTGAAATACACCAGGGACTATGGGAGACAACTTCCCCACTAAGTCACTCACTTCCACACAAGCACTGGCTTAGCCTCATTCTCCCTCCCATGAAGTCATGAGAGGAAGACTGGCTAATACCAGAAGAACTAAGCTCCAATCCAGGTGTTGCCATCTGGATGACACTGAATTAATTAGTCATTTAGTTTCTTCATTTGTAAAGTGGAAATGTTGTTAGTACTCATAGTCTCAGTGATATGCTTTATTAAGTGAAATTAAGTGCATGAAAGTATCTCGCATGTTACAAATGTTAAGTGGTAGTGGTGGTTGTGTGCTGTAGAGTCAGGTCTGACCCATAGCGACCCATAGCGTACAGGGTTTCCGAGGTTGTAAATCTTTACAGGAGCAGAAAGCCTCATCTTTCTTCCACAGAATTGCTGGTAGTTTCAAACTGCTGACCATGAGATTAGCAGCCCAACTCATAACCACTACACTACCAGAGCTCCTTACTACATAAGTAGTGGTTATCATTTTATTTATCTTCTGGCTCCTAAGAATACCTAATGTAAACCTAGGTACATAGTAGGCATTTAATAAACATCAGATCATTTAAATTGAGTTAAGGTTTACATTCCATAGTCTTGTGGGTTTTTGAGGACATAGAAGACCCTAACAATAATGATGCTGCCTGGTGGTGAGACAGCTGTGAGGACCAAATGAAAAGGATGTGAAAGTATCTTGGAAGCCATAAATATTAGACTATACTTATTTTTGGAAAACCACCTAGGTCTGCTGCCCCTATAGTAGAGGGTTGCTAAAGCCAGGTGACCCTGGATGTGGAACCATAGGCATTGGGCAGTCTCCCTCCAAGCCCTACATCCATTCTCTTTGGGGAACAAATTTTCCCCAGTTTTGACTTTTACATTACTCTAGCTGCCTGTGTCCATAATGGTGTGCCCACCCCTCATTAGCCCTTCCCCTCTCATTTCAGCACCCCTATCCAACGGAGGATGAGAAGAGGCAGATTGCAGCCCAGACAAACCTCACCCTCCTGCAAGTAAATAACTGGTGAGTAGCATCACCTGCCCACAGGCTCAGACCCAGGGATCACTTGCTTGGCGGAGTAGGAGAAGAGACTAGTTTGCCCAGTGCCACCTTAATCCTAGGCCAACTGCCACCACCATTCCTCCCATTTGGGCTTAGAAGCAAAAAGCCAGAATCTACATAAAGGCACCTGTAGCTTCATCTACAGCTTCTCAGTGCCCTCTGTTGGGGAATTGTGTCAGAAACATCACTGAAAGCTTCTTGCTGAATAGAAACCCAGCCCCTTGGAATGGCTGAAACAGACAGGATTTACTATATCAATGCACTGGAGGGACTACCAGTGGTCATCTTGTCTATCTGCTGCCCCCCAGTGTGGGCTGAAGTCAAACTAAGACATTCCGGAAAGCTTCAGTGGGAAGGAGGAGGAAGAGTTTGCCCATCTGACCCCACAGGGATTTAAGCTGTCCCGTTCTTTGTTTCTGGTTGGGCTGTCATTGAGAGAAAGGTCAGAGAACCCAGGCTCAACTCAGACAAAACTCACAAAATTACTGATGTGAGCCCTTGGCCCTCTGGAGAGAAGTTAGAGGTTGGCACTTGTGGCCAAGGCTCTTCCCACTTCTGTTCAATCCTGGTAGGTATGGAGCAGAGATTTAGGACCCTACCCCTTGCCTCCTTTCCTTGCTACTTGGAGGTCATCAAGCTCTAACTGATTTCCTGAGTGCCTAGTGCCCAGGGGCCTTCTCTCTGCTGGATTTTTACACCCTAGATCTGAATGTATAATGTATTAATAGATTGGTTTCTGTGAGTCTAAAACAGCTTAGCTCTTTCTGCACCCATCCCCTATCTCACCAGCTCCCCCTACCCTCTACCCTAGCATTACCATCCAAATGGTGATCAACTAAGTCTCCACCTTTAACCTTGACAGGTTCATCAATGCCCGGAGGCGTATCCTGCAGCCTATGCTTGATGCCAGCAACCCAGACCCTGCTCCCAAAGCCAAGAAGATCAAGTCACAGCACCGACCCACCCAAAGATTCTGGCCCAACTCCATTGCTGCAGGGGTGCTGCAGCAGCAGGGTGGTGCCCCAGGAACAAACCCCGATGGTAACAACTGGGGCTAAGTGTACTATAGCCAGGCATTTGGTAGAGGGCCTTAGGGGGCTTCTTCAGTATAGGTTGTACAATGATTCAAGGACTAAACATCTATTCACCAGAGTTCCAGCCCCAGTTCTGTTCATGTGCCTTTAAAGGAGGGGTTGTTTTATACATGTGTAAACAAGCCAAAAGCAACTTCACAAGATGGATGGGAGTAGGTGGTCATCTGAGCCAATGGCTGCTCAGCAGGCCCGCTTCTCTCCCCCACACTTGCCCTAAGTTCATAATCACCTTTCAGTGTCTGAACAGCTCTTCAAGAGCCAGGGCCATCTATAAATACTGAGGCAGGCAGCTGGCTTGTGAACTGAGGCCAGAGAGAGCTTTGTTTTCCTAGTTTCTACATCGCACTCTCCAGATATACTTTACTAATTGCCATTCGCCTAGTGCACAATGAATAATTCAATGAGCCAGATATTTTATAGCTTGGCCTGTGAAGATAGCTCTGTGTGGGAAGTGGAGTGGAGGTGTGCACATGTACATGCATACTTTCATGCATGCATATATTTATGTGGTTGTGTATAGGCTCCTGGGTAATAGGCATTCATCTTGCAAGGTATAATGGAAATAAACAGATTTGTGACTAGACCAACTTGGGAAAGAATCACAACTCCATTATTCCAGAGACTTAATTTCCTCCTCTTTACAATGGGGTCAGTGACACCTGTCTTATAGTTCTTAACATATCTCCCTGAAAGATTGTGGCAGGGAATGAATGGATGGGACACATCATACCAGGAAATTATCTAACTTTTAAGCTTAGGCACCATTAGAAACAAGGCGCTTACCCCTTGAGCCATTCCAATTAATCCAACACTGAGGTTCCAGTGCCTAACTGGGCCCCTACTGTCCTGACTTTTGCTCTCTCCTCATCTGTAGGTTCCATCAACTTGGACAACCTACAGTCCCTGTCCTCAGACAATGCCACGATGGCAATGCAGCAGGCCATGATGGCTGCACACGATGACTCACTAGATGGGACAGAAGAGGAGGATGAGGATGAGATAGAAGAAGAGGAAGAGGAGGATCTGGAGGAGGAGGCAGATGAGCTGCAGACAACAAATGTCAGCGACCTGGGCTTGGAACACAGTGACTCCCTGGAGTAGTTGGGCAGCCCAGACGGCACTGATCACAAGCAGGAGAGGAGTGTCGTCAGGGTTTCAGAGGGGTGGGGGAGGGACAGGAAGCACTGAAGGAAGTTGGGCCCTAGCCTCCCACAATCAGCAGCTTGAAGAAATTCAGGAGACACCCTACTCCTTCCCAACCACCAAGTTTCAATGAGTACCCCAGCCCTACTTTCCTAGAACTGCCAAGGACTTCATTTCACAGGGCCAGTCAAACAGCACATATGGAGAGACAGGAGTGAGATGTGGACTCACCCAATCCCGGAGAACAAAGGGCACCTGTGGCCATCCCATTGAAGGACTTGAGTTGTATACAAGCCTTGTACTGTGAGGCAGATTGGTGCTGTTAGCAGAGTGAACCCTTGCTAGGGGCAGAACTAGAAAGAAAGTAGGAGACAAAGGGGACCTTGGTTTGACTCTCAGAAGATTTTCAGCTCCTTTGAGGGACCTTCAATGGCAGGGGAGAGTCCAAAAGCATAATCAATAGCTGAGGAGGAGGATGGCCTGAAGATATCGTATCTTGCAAATCAGAATGAAACCTGATGTCACAGGTTCCAGCTGACTCCTTCAAAGTCCCTCTTTCGGGCATAGGCAATCAGGGACTTGAGAAAGAGGGATGGGAAACCACACAGCCTCCTTATCTCTCTCTTGAAAATAGATTGCAAACTGGTGAGCTCAGACTGTAGGAGGCTAAGAGAAGTCCTTTTACTTGGGTTGGTTCGAGGACCCCAGAAGTTAGCAGAACCTGGGTTGGGAGCCATATCAATATTAGGCAGTCACAGAACTCATCTCCTATAACAGGACAATTGTGTCTCAGTCCTCAGTAGGAGCTCCTCAATTGGACCACCCCACCATTGACCTTCAGAGAGGGTGGAGTCAGGTTAACTTGAAATCTTTCCACCCCTGAGGTTCCCCGTGACTGTCCCTCTGCTCCTAGGCTTACTCCATCAGCCTGCAACTTCTCTTCATTTTATTCTTCAAAGAAGACAGAAGAAACATTGGAAAGAAGTATCCAGCCCAGTGAGAAGCCAAGGGTTGGAGAAGGTGCTACATCCCTGTTCCAATCATATCCCAATGTGGGAGAGGGCCCAGAAAATGGCACCCAGGAGCCTACAGTGGTGCCACCAGTCCCGTCCACCTCACTGTTCCACATCACCATTGTACACACTAGCAGAGGAACCAAGGCTCCCACAAGGAGTAGGCTTACAGTCCACCTGCCCTAACACATCTTCCCAGCCCAATTTCTAGCCCCTACCCCCCATTCTTTCCCACCCACCCCTATGGCTGTGAATGAAAGGACTGATCAAATGTGTTTTTAAATTGGGTTTAATTTAATGGACTTGCTGTTTCATTTGTACATTGTGCATTGGCCACCACCTTCAAGGCAGGATGTGAATAAGCTACCTGGCTCCACTTGAGAGGACCCTGGAGGACGTCTAGGGTTTCTGCTCTCCCACCAGGTTGGATGGAGCTAAAGGATGTTCCTCTCCTGAGGTCTCCCTGAAATGAATGTATTTCTCCCCAAAAGAGCTAATATTTAATGTTTTAATAGGGATTTTTGAGAAACAAATAACCTTATTTATAATCTGGATTTCCAATCAGTTTTTACTCCTTTTGATGCCATAGACAGAGGAAAGTCTAGATTTTTTTTGTGTGAGACTTTTACAACATGCAGTAGGATAAAATACATTTTCTTTTCTGGTTTACTTTTCTTTTTCAAACACACACAAACACTTCCACTTACTATTTTGGACAGGCATCCTATCCCTATCCCAACACAGGCTGTCTGCTACACACACCCACATGTCCTTCTTCCAGGCCCTCCCCTTGCCTAATGTTATGCAACCTCCTTCTTATGTATCCACCAAACTAGTACAGAATGTGGCCGAGAAGTTTTCAGTAAATCTCATTACCTACCATAAACCTGGTGCTCCATTCTCTTTTCTGTGGTTGCTATAATGACCCCTGCTTCTTAAGTGAAACTAGAGGAAATCTGGAGAACTCACCATGTCCCTTGTTGAATTGATTTCACAGAAGACAAAATGGAGGACTTTCTTGGTCATCTCAGCATTCCTGTCCAGGGAGGCAAAAAGTCAAGTTTGGCACATGTGTGTATCTAACTGTAGCCTCTAAGATGAATAGAAAACATGATAAAGCTCTATCCTGCCCTTGCTTGACAATCTTTCCAGATAGCAGTGTTGTTATGTTGATGCTAAGTGCCATGGAGTTGGGTTACGATTCATAGCGGCCCTGTCTAGGGTTTCCTAGGAGTGACTGGTAGATTTGAACCACTGACCTTGTGTTCCAGTGAGTCATAGCAGTCCTGCATAGGGTTTCTGAGGAACAGCTGGTAGGTTTGAACCTCTGACTTTGTTTGCAGTCCAGTGCTGATCCTACAGCACCACACCAGGAGTACCCTGTAGCAGTGGTGATGGTGTGCCATGGAGTCAGTTCCGAATTACAGTGACCCTGCATAGTGTTTCCAAGCCTCTAAATCTTTCCAGGAGCAGAAAGCCACATCTTTCTCCCACAGTACGGCTGGAAGTTTTGAACTCCTGGCCTTGAACTTAGCAGCCATCTTGTAACCATTGTGCTACCAGTAGCAGTTCTAAATTTGGTTTTCTCTTGTACCATGCTCTACCTCCTTAAAAAGCATTTGTTTTTCCCATAATGAAATGGAACACATAAACATCGATATCTTAGGCATTTGTGTGTTGAAATGGACTGGTATTGGCCATTTTGAATCTGACAACCACATGGTTTACTTTGTCGGGAATGACAAATTGAAGAGGAATGGTGTTGCATTCATAGTCAAAAAGAACATATCCAGATCAGTCATGAGGTACAACATTGTCTGTGATAGGATAATATCCATGCGCCTACAGGGAAGTCCAGTTAATACCACTATTATTCAAATGTATGCACCAACCACTAAAGCCAGTAAGGATGAACTAGAAGAATTTTACCAACTTCTTCAATCTGAAATCGATCAAACATGCAATCAAGATGTATTGATCATTACTGGTGATTGGAATGCAAAGGTTGGGAGCAAAGAAGAAGGATCAGTCACTGGAAAATATGGCCTTGGTGATAGAAATGATGCTGGAGAACTCATGATAGCATTCTGCAAAACCAATGATTTCTTCATTTCAAATACCTTCTTTAGATAGCATAAGATACGACTATACACATGATTGAAGAAGTGCAGCCAGAGTGCTCCTTAGAAGCCAAGATGGCCAAACTTCATCTCTCATACTTCAGACATATTGTCAGGAGGGAACAGTCGCAAGAGAAGGATATCATGCTTGGTAAGATGGAGGGTCAGAGAAAAAGAGGAAGACCCCAAAGAGATGGATCGGCCAGGTGGCAGCATCAATGGACTCAAGTGTGGCAACAGTAGTGAGGTTGGCCCAGGATTGGACATTGTTTCGTTCTGCTGTGCATAAGGTCGCTATGAGTCGGTGTCGACTCAATGGCACCTAACAACAACAGCATACACGTGGACCTCACCAGATGGAATACATAGAAATCAAATTGACTATGTCTGCGGAAAGAGACGATGGAAAATCTCCATAAGTCAAAACAATACCAGGGGCATGCAAATTCAAACTGAAGCTGGGGAAAATGAAAACAATTCCATGAGAGCCAAAATATGACCTTGAATATATCCCACCTGAATTTAGAGATAATCTGAAGAATAGATTTGATACATTAAACACTAATGATAGAAGACCAGAAGAGTTGTGGGATGACATCAAGAACATCATACATGAAGACAGCAAAAAGTTATTAAGAAAACAAGAAAGAAAGAAAAGGTCAAAATAGATGTCAGAAGAGACTGAAATTTGCTCTCCAGCACAGAGATGCTAAAGAAAATGGAAGAAATGAGGAGGTACAAGAACTGAACAGAAAATTTCAAGGATCAGCTCGAGAAGATAAAGCCAAATATTACAACAAAATGTGCAAAGATCTTAAATCAGAAGAACACACTCAGTGTTTCTCAAGCTGAGGGAACTGAAAAAAAAATTCAAGCCTTGACTTTCGTTATTGAAAGATTCTCTGGGCATATTATTGAATGACGCAGAAAGCATCAAATGAAGATGAAAGGAATACACAGAGTCACTGTACCAAAAGGAAATGGTTAATGTTCAACCGTTTCAAGAGGTAGCATATGATCAAGAGCCAATGAATGATACTGTGAAGGAGGAAGTCCAAGGTGCATTGAAGGAATTGGCAAAGAACAAGGCACCAGGAATTGATGGAATAAAAATTGAAATCTTTCAAGAGAGTGAGGCAGCACAGGAGGCACTCATTCATCTATGCCAAGAAACTTGGAAGACAACTATCTGGCTGACTGATTGGAAGAGATCCATATTTGTGCCCATTCCAAAGAGAGGTGACCCAACAGAATGCGGAAATCATTGGACAATCTCTGATATCCCACGTGAGTAGTTTTACTAACGGTAACACAGAAATGGCTGCAAGCATACATTGACAGAGAACTTCCAGAAGTTCAAGCCAGATTTAGAAGAGGCCGTGGAACTAGGGATATCATTGCTGGTGTCCGATGGATCTTAGTGGAAATCAGAGAATATCAGAAAGATGTTTACCTGTGCTTGATTGACCATGCAAAGGCTTTCGATTGTGTGGATCATGACAAGCTACAGACAACATTGCAAAGTATGAGTATTCCGGAACACTTAATTGTGCTCATGAGGAATCTGTACATAGACCAAGAGGCAGTTGTTCGAACAGAGCATGGGAACACTGAATGGTTTAAAATTAAGAAAGGTGTTTGACAGGGTTGTATTCTTTCACCATACTTATTCAAACTGTATGCTGAACAAATCATCCAAGAAGCTGGGTTCTATGAAGAAAAACATGGCATCAGGACTAGAAGAAGATTCATTAACAACCTGCGATATGCAGATGATACAACCTTGCTTGCTGAAAGTGAAGAGGACTTAAAACACTTACTGATGAAGATCAAAGAGCACAGCCTTCGGTATGGACTACATCTCAATGTAAAGAAAACAAAAATCCTCACCAGTGGACCAATAAACAACATTCATATCAACGGAGAAAAGATTGAAGTTGTCAAGGACTTCATTCTTCTTGGATCAACTATCAACACTCATGGAAGCAGCAGTCAAGAAATCAAACGACGTATTGCATTAGGCAAATCTGCTGCACAAGACCTTTTTAAAGTGCTGAAGAGCAAAGATGTCAACTTGAGGACTAAGGTGCACCTAACCCAAGCCATGGTATTTTCAGTAACCTCATATGCGTGTGAAAGCTGGGCAGTAAATAAGGAAGACCATAGAAGAAGTGATGCATTT